TCCTTGGAAAGTTTTGGGGACGCTTGTGAATCTTAAACGGTATATCTGTGTTTTGTCCTTTGTATATTGCCTTTTACATTCAAGTAAGCGTGTATCATATTCTTTCATGATATTTAACTCTTCTATACCGAATTTCAATGAAATAAAGATGTACATTTATGGGGATTTAACACGAAATTTAGAGTCACCGGGACACCTCTATAATAGAAAAGATGTCGAGACGTGATAGAGGACATAAAGAAGGAGACATTATAGGCGCGGGGTAACGGAGGGACACGCAATGTAGCCATACTAAGTCCATATCTAAGGCATATTTATGATTGGTTGGGCGCGGGTTAGAAGCTAGATTTACTTCAAAATTTTAAATCAAGTTTGGATAATAATTATGATTATTTCAGTCCTTATTAGGCAATAGTATGCTTTAACATCAAGATCAAAAGGAACACTTCACTATTATGGCCATCTGATTAAAATCTCTCGAAGAAGTTATTCATGAACAGGCCGATAATCGTGAGTAAAACATTTCCTGGTTACGTGATAAGAGAGTTTGCTATGAATTATGGGATATCTTTCCTCTCGTGCATGGTTAAATTGAGAGAAAAATACAAAATAACAAGCTTGAAAACGTGTATAAATCGATAAATCATTGGCGCCCATGGTTATAGACCTAAATATAAAAAACCGTTGAAATGACGCATCTATCACTGAATATTAAGGTTCAAAGAGTTGAGAAATTTTAGCACCAATCTGATTAAATCTGGCGACATCCTAATAGTGTTTTTACTTTGTGTTCAGTAAAAATCACTTGAACTGAACATTGGAATTTTTATCCAGAAATGAGCGCAAATGTAGACATGTTGTGAAAATAAACTCAATATAAAACTTCCAGCCTTGGTTTAGCAAAATTGTGGACAAAAATTCATATTTTGTAAAATGTAGTACAATCATCTAACCCCAGCACCAACCCCTTGTCAATTTCCAGAAAACCGACTTCGTGTCCATTCATAATGTATGTAGCATGTTTTCTTATTTTTTCTAATGACAAACGATCATTTTAATTTACGATCCCAATATTTCAATCGCAAGAGATTCAAACCATATCGCGCAATCCAGCAGACAAATGCAGACGACATGAAAACGGCAATGCATAAATCATAAGCCTTAAATAAATAATTATTCTATCCTATTAGAATGAAATATGAATCCTTTTTTTGAATTTGAAGTGTTTCGAAAGTTAGTACACCCATATGCAGATGTATTCAAACAAATGACACTTTAAGGATGTTCTCAAATCTTTACTTGAACTGCCGACTTGAATGAGGGGTGTATAAGCTATTTTGAGAGCCCAGGCGCCAAATCCGTTTAACAAGCTCTCGGATTGATTCACCGTATTGTAAACCTACACGTTTAATCCAGGGGGCGACGAAGTGTGTTTGTTTGAAATCTCATTGCCTCTCTCCAACCTATACATTTACACCTTGCGAATGAGTATCTTTTCTTAGCTTCGGATTTAAAGGCCACATTACACCTCCTCGTTTTTATTGTTAGCGTCAAATGTAAATAGTTCGTATTATTATATACCCAATATGTAACACTAATCCTGATTGGTCAATACCTAGTCACGTGTTCCGAAATAGATTTACTATTTCCCTCGGAAAGTTATATTCCCTCAAATGTGACGTCAGCGGGAATATACATTTGAACTATTGCCCGCTGACGTCACAATTGCAAGCTCTATTACCCTTGGAAACGTCTGCTCATCATCACTGCGCAGACGAAAAACAGAAAAATGGAGGATGAGCACAAACACAAATCAACTCCGTTCACCATGACAGACGTGCGTGAACGATACAGTATAAGCAACGTGTATAAAGTTCCCTAAGCTCAATACGTCTGTGTAATTTCAAGTGTTATGATAATCTATTCCGCGTGTTAAACGCGATTGAATTTGTCAAGTGAGAGTCTCAGAGGCAAACATTTCTGTTGAGCATCTGATGACGTCACAGCTTATAATGCTAACAATGGACCCGGGGAGGGGGCTTTCTAAGCCTTTTTGGCCTTCGCAGAGGAAACGGGACAAGAGTCAGTATAGGGTATATAATAAAACAAATAGTGACTGCCTAATTTCGAGCAATAGTGTAAATGATTTCCCCTTGGGAATATCCTCTACAATGTACTATTCACTCAGCCTGCGGCTTCGGGAATAGTACATTGTAGAGGATATTCCCTCGGGGAAACAATTTACACTATTGCCCTCAATGGCAGTCACTATTTGTATATTACTCCGCACACAACTTGTGTGCTTTCTTTGACTAAATCAACACTTTGGTCAGACGGTACTGAAGGATCAATTGTTCACCGAATAATCGTTACCTGTCTAACCTCACTTAGTTATATTTAATCGGGTAAATAGCAGAATGACTTTTATTGGCAATAAACTTATTTATAAAAATAATTGATATAAATTCGTATCTTTGAGAATAACACGATCTATGACTGTCCATGTGGACACCGGTCCGTACCTGGTCACATCACATTAGTGTTACCATCTTTTGGCCAGAGTAGTACTTAGGGGGCAAACAGGTAGGTCAGTGTGACATGTTCGTAGACAAAATGGCCAGTGTCGTTCCTGGATGAACCAATTAAGTGCGCAAATCGAACCTACAAACACCATTTTCAAGTCTTAAATATTGATGAAGAAAAATTGACACCAGTAGAACAAAGGGAAAGAGGAACACCTAAAAGTGAATTGAAACGGGAAATTTATGTTAGAATCAATTATATATTAATAAATTACTATGAGGTATTGATGAGACACATCTAAATTTAAAGGGAATACTGTCATTGAAGTCAGATCCATGAAAATTCCCCAAATCTAAAACAACTACAGATGAAAGAACCTAACAGTTACGTGTGCAATGAATACAACATAGAGACTGGGCAACATTTTTTGTTAGAATGACAAGGCTATGAAGACCTTAGAAGCACCAAAGATAACACATACAAAGACCATCAACCCAAACTAAACAAATGATAACCAAAAATGTTATATTTCTCAGTACTTCTCAAGAGTGAGTGAGCTTTTAAAGCCACCATCCCCTAAAAATAAACGCAGACAAACGATGCGTTTATGCCAACTCCATTCTCAATCAAAGTCGTTACACCCTTCCCCCACCATTATAAATTCCGTCCTCGATTTGTATAAAAGTTACAGATCTCAGACGGCATGTTTTACATATCGTAGGTCACAACGATGGGTTATCAAGAAGAAAGACATTAATAGCTGTCGGAAAGGATTAATCAAGATGTCGAGGGGGCTTAAAATCTGACATCACACGTATTTTACACAATCGCAAAACATCAGATATCGTCATCCAAACCCTTGTCTGTTTACAAACGGTTTACGAGAATCCAAATTAGACATAGTTTTTCTTTACTCTCTTTCGAGATGACACTCAAGCGTCAGACATTGAGGAAACTGAGCAAACATAACTATGTACAAAGTTTCAAGAGTTGTGTGTTAAATGTGATAGGAATATGCATGTATTTAATTTCATTAATAGATTGTCAATAGGAATTGCTGAAATCAAGACAGGAGCTGCAGAACGTCTATAACAGGAAACAGGATAAAAGGATACTTCCCTTGTAATGTTTTAAACAATAGCTTCCCTAAATAGACATACATTAGGTGATCCATGATCCTAATGTAACGTACCAAAGGATTTTGTACAAGATAAACTCTGTACACTACCAAAAATATAATAATTTTCCATTGTTTCGTTCTGAGACACCAATTCCTGTTCTAACTGGTTAGGGAGTGATTAAATAAGAAAGCAGACGATACTTCTTTATGTAGCCCATGGGATTTGAGACTTGCTGTCATTGATATCAAAATAACCAAAAGCTCACATTCCAGGCGTGGAGATGTCTTTGATAATATCAAATGGAAAATTGGGATTTTCTTTGAACATCACGTCTCAGGCGTTGTGCCGTTGGTGTATCAAAAGTGACCATATTAGAAAACTCTTTCACATGACGAAGATTCATGAGCATAAATGAACACGTTTTACTAAATTAGTTCTATAGATAGTAATGATTAAGTAATCATGTAGAATCTAACTTAATATTTTCGACGAAAATATATTTTAAACCATTTTTGCTCATACAGTGAGCCCATGGGTTTGACTTGTTAAAACTGCTATTAGTATGATGTCATATCTGTAGTTTAGAAATATGTTTCGTAAATACTCGTATGAACACATTTATTTATGCTTATCATCCATGACATCTAATTGCAATTTTTTCTTTTCCCATTTCTGAGAAAGTCGCATTTCGTTCAACTTGCAAGAATATCTGAAAGCAGGTTCCATAGGTCCTTTTTATTTTGTAAAGCGTAAAACCAGTCATAAGTGCAGAAACATATCAACATGCCAAACAATGATCTAACCTTTAAAGAAACAGCCCTAAACACCTCGCTCTCACAGACATTTGTGGCCAGATATTTCAGTACAAGATATTTTAATTTATTGTGCCTGTTAAAATAATGAGTAGCAAATGAGTCAATAAATTTAATGAAAGGACTGTACGAAACATAGGACACGCGTTAATGAAGTATTTATAAAAGAAGGGCTCCCACAATGAAAGAGGTATTCCTTATTTTAGATTATTATATAACCCATTCTAGATGCTCATTGGCCTGCAGCCTCGGGAACATATCAGTGCCTGTGGACAGAATATTCCCCCAGGAAAAATATTTTGCACTATTTTCCTCAATGGCAGTCACTATTTGTATAATAATTTCAGGAATTTTTGAAAGATGTGAAGCTTGAGTATATGTTGTCTCGTAAGCCGATGTCGGCTGTTTTTTTTAATAAATGCATTTTACTTGTACTATTTTTAGTAAACCCGTGACACAATATAATAAACTATTATTAAACTTATATTAAGTAAAAGCTGTTAACTTTGCTATCATTCCAAATACAATGAAGCCAACAAGATATATAAATAATTCTTTTATTCAATATATATATATAACATAACAAATTACATATCAACTTTTTACCTAGCCTACCCGTCATACAATGTGAGCTTTACGGAGCTAAGATTTCTCTGTTATAGTTCAATACAAAGGGATTCGATGAATACGACATCTATATTTCAATAAAATGTCCTTTATATATACCAAGTACAACACCCAATGGTGTTTTTATCAGATACATATTTTGAATCCATTGTTACTATGTATACTATTTATTTATTTCCGAGGATCCGGTATGGTGTGACGTTCATTTGTCTGTGATCGGTTGTGAGTTGAAGGGCATGCCATGTAACTGGACAGATTGGTGAGCAGTGAGATTTAAAATAATCTTTGTAAGCCATTTAGTAACCATCAGGGACACCATCTTTTCTGTAGTCACAATTAGCCCAGACGGATCCATCCTCCTGCGTGATCCCAGATACAACTGCCCCGACGGACTGGTCTCGTATAGTGTGTCCCTTCTCTGCAAGCCCCTTCAGGAGTTTCTGTAAAAGGAACATTAACACAATTTACACAAAGATAGTATGTAATTACAATCATTTCGTTTCGGTGAATCTAATTAAAATAACGTGGCGTTAGTTTACCTGACACTCAGTTCGAAACTGTATTACTCGACGCTGGACCTCTATCAATTATTTGATCAAATTACCTCTTCCGATGATTGGACGAAATGGTCTTTATCCCATACTTGGACGTGTTACAGGTACATAAAGTCAGTTTGTAAAAACTTATATTTTCATCAGCGGGCAGATATAGCTTTACGTCCCGCTCCGAGCGGGCAGATATAGTATATCTGCCCGCTACGTCATAATCGTCGCTCGCATATTTGTTCATAATTTGTAACGTTCGCGTTATGACTGTAAACGACAATGGAGAAAACACAGACAATCGGAATCTGTTTGATGGTTTAAAAAGGGAAGGAGCATCCACTTAATCAATCAAAAATTCGAGAAAATAAATATGGGAATATTTGAGAGAACAGGAAAATCCACCCACGGCCAAGAAAACAAAACTGGACATGAATTTTCTAAAATATTTCCACGATTTAACAATGTGAACCAGATGACAAAGATTGGTATGGGATAAACATATTATCCTATAGTCGGTTCCGGATATTGGGATTATCCCTTGGCCAATATAACATATTTTCCCTCGGGACCTGCGGCCCTCGGGCAAATATATTATATTTGCCTCGGGATAATCCCAATATCCTGAACCTCATATAGGATAATCTCTATATATCCTAACGCAGAAATCTCGATTCGCGTTTCCTAGTTGGAAAACCACGTTACTAGTCAGTCATATTCAAATCTTATTTCAAAGGAAACACGATATCAAAATAAAACCATGATATACTTCGAAACTTTCATTTCATAGAGAATGGCCTCAACTTACTAGGACTACAGTACCTACCGGTGGAAATGATGCATCATGCCTTATATAATCTGGTAAAAGTTGATGGTGTATCCTGGGATAATCTATAGAAGTCTTTATATTCTCGCCAAACCATAAATTCCTCATAGCTACCTAAAACAAAATGACAATATAGTTTTGCTTCAACGACTTGAGCTACTACAACAACTGGCAAGTTGTTAGTCCAGTAAATAGTCCAAGAAGGTCTTGAAGTGAGACTAACACGTCACTAGTAATTTGCATGTAGCCATAATGTACGGATTGGATATTTATCTTCCCATGAAGTATCGATAATTTTGCTATGCATTCAAGCCTCATTGATGACAGTAGATAACTTACGTATGCCGTCACTGTAGTTATCCTTGTGCCCCCTGCCGCACCTGTTATTAACCTCACATTTCTGTCAGCGTCCAGGACAATGGTGGGAGCCATTGATGACAGGGGACGCTTTCCAGGCTTAATAAAGTTAGCAGGAGATGCTGGTATCCCAAAAGCATTGGTGGTATTTGGAGTTGCGAAATCATCCATTTCGTCGTTATATATGATTCCAGTTTTGTTACCCCTCATATTTGAACCAAAACTGAAGTATATGAACACATATTATTTTTCAATTTCACTTTGTGCTTGATATAGATCAATGTCTAGTGTAATTGAGATTGAGATGATTCTTATTGTACTTAAGCACAAGCATACTCGTTTCCCAGTTTGATTTTGAACACATCATACCTTGAAATCCAAGATGACGCACAAGTGCGAAAACGAACTCAGTTTTGTACATAAAACACAGCAAGAGAAATTGAATAATAGCACGGCAAGTCATAAAGGAATCAAACCCCAATACCCCAATAATCGATGATCCAATGCACATATTTAATATGACCCCCTACCTACCATTCAGGTAGTGATTTCAGATTGACTTACAAGAGGTTAATGGTGCTGGTAAAAGCAACAGCACTACCCCCCCCCCACTTAAAACTAATAATTTCAGATTGACTTACAAGAGGTTGATGGTGCTGGTAAAAGCAACAGAACTACCCCCCTTAAAACCAATACGTTCAGATTGACTTACAAGAGGTTGATGGTGCTGGTAAAAGCAACAGCACTACCCCCCTTAAAACCAATACGTTCAGATTGACTTACAAGAGGTTGATGGTGCTGGTACAAGCAACGGCACTTCCATCGGGGCCCAACACTGAAAGATGAGCTGTCCCTGTGGTCTCACGGTCGTAGAATGTTGGCCCATAGTACAAAAAATCATGGGTCTGGTTGTCCCATATTTTGTGCCTTGTAGCTGTGGCATAATCTTTTGAAGTTAAATTCTTTATTAGCTAAAATCATAAGAGTACATAGTACATATTATCAAAACTGATGTAATCTGTTGTAAGCGATAGAAAGAAATCGTGTGATAATATTGATACAGAAATTGAAAATGAAATAGAACATTATTTCACCTGATGCGGTACATGTACAGGGTGACCCTAAAATAACGTTGCTGTATTTTGGAATAACTTTCTCAGAGATTTAGAGTAATCACGTTTTCCGTCCATGTATGCTCTCAAATGAAATCGTAAAGAAATGTTAAAAAACACAATTTTCTGAAATTTCTATGTAAGCATTTGAGTCATGAACGAATATACTACATGCGAGTAGAAATAATCTTGATTTACGTCATTAATATTCAAAATTCAGTCAAAGTGATGTCATATTTGAAATCTGCATTTAAATGTTCATCTAGAAATATGGTTTCGAAAATTGTGTATCAACTTTGAAAATTTAATTTTTTTTGAAACTGTGACTTCTTGTTCGGGTTGATTCCCCGTAGAACCCATGTTAGAAAATCACAAAAAGTGAATTATCTTTTCTTGTATTGGACAGATAACATTTTCTTTTACTGGACATATTTTAATTTGCATAACTATTAGATACACGCAAATAGATGTAATTTATGTTAAAGGGAACTTTCTACTATACCCGCCATGCTATCTGACCCGAACGAGCCACTCGGTGGTGAATCTGGTAACTACCTACTCGCATCTGCGTTATTGCTTTCATACATATTAGCAATACTATGTCATATGTACTCATTTTAAGACTGATTTCCTAACTTACATTTTGAGTGGTTTGGGCTCAGAGCACGCCTCCTCGGAAACAATGATCTCTCTAAATCTTTAAGCCGTTGATGCTATGCAAGTTCCCCAATGTTTTATGCAATGATCACTCTAATATAAAGTCCGACAGTGGACAAAGACCCTTTAAAACTGCATTGAAGTCAAAACTTTTCAACCTTTTGCAATGGAGAAAAGAATTAAGATTCAAACATGATCAGACTTTAACACGCTTTCAAATCGGAACTTCTGGTTACTAAAATTATGGAGTGTAATACATACATCTTCAATTTCTGGTTGTAGAAAATTCTCATCTCCCAATTCTGTTCGTTTAGCATATGCGAATTTAAAAGCTTCTATTATACGATGATATGTTGTAGTGGATGTTTCATCGTCTTTTAAACTTTCTGAGTTGAAGTTATATCCATCTAGGATACCCATGATATATTGCAAGACTACACCACTCGATGGCGGCCTCACTCCATAGACTGTCATGTTCCCATTGCTCAAGTGTATTGCTAATGGATCTTTTATTTCACTGGTATAATTCCTTAAATCCTCCTCAGTTATTATTGCACCTGTGAAAGAGTAAGAAAATGCACTTAAGTTATGCACTTATGAGATGTATTCACATCTTAAAATGAATTGTCTCTTTATATACCCTTAACTTAAGAAATTCGTAACAGCTTATTGGCACTATTCACAAACCATCTTGATACAAATTCACATATTTGAAGAACATATGGTTTGTAACAACGAATTTTGATGGTGCGAGTTAATTACATGTTATTCTGAATTATTATATAAAAAAGATTTCGTTTTGAGAATGAATATGTAACAGAAACACAAAAAGGGAAAGACCAGAGAAGTAAATAACAAAGCAGAACAAGATAAAGAAATATCCAAGAGCACCACTACCCTTCATAAGGAAACACCCCGATTATCCAAAACTATGATTCGACTCACAGAGAAACAGTGGTGACTAACATCCCATCTTCGCCAGGAATCATTATCACAAAATGATGTGACTGACCAAATGACAAAAATCAAATACCCAAAATGTTAATGTGAAAAATTAAACGGTGCCAAAATATTCAATCTTACCCATATCTTTCAGCTCTTCTGCTATCTTAGTGGCCAAACTTCCATTATAAAATGTATGAGGATCTTCTGAGATTTCCCTCAGTGTTTCAGCGAATTTCTCCCTCTTCATAATATCTCCCGCTTCAAGAAATCGATTCTCCTCTTTGTTCCACATGATCTCCCTAGAGATTAAAAATTATGGCCATGGTTAAAGCGTTTTTCATTTTATACCTTGTTAATTTTATATCTATGTATACATCAATGATTAATTCGAAGAGGAGTTGGGGTTTGAATTTTACAAGCACAAATAGAAATTCCTAAAGTCAAATGTTCTTTTACTATGGTTTCATTGTATCCATGGTTACAACAACTGATCAGAAATTCTAAATATAATATTTAAAACCATTTAATCAATGTCCCTGATGATAATAATACTGTGGTAATACTGAAGTAATGTGGACATGATCTTGGAAAACTTATGAGCAACAATCGAAGTAACCATTTGAACACAATAAAAGCCAGGCACTTACATGATTGATGGATAATTAGGGAGTCTATTTCGGTACTGTCTGATTGCAGAGGCAAGACTCTTGCCCACTGGAAAGCCCTCTTTACACATTTTAATGGTGGGCTCAAACAGTTCCTTCCACGTAACAGAACCACTCCCAAAATTACTGTAAGCTTCCCAGTATCCTTTGATCTCCCCTGGGACACCTATAGCCAATGGACCTGAAATGCACAGATGTATGCTGGGTAAATTACCCGGCGGCCATTTTAATTTTTTTGATAATAAAATGCAATTTTGACTTTTCTCAGATTTCTGTGTTTCAAAAAGGATACAAAGAGATATAGTCTTGCTTCAAGACCCTGGACTGTCTATTGGACTAAGAACTGTAGTTAGAGTAGATAATCCAGGGTCTTGAAGAAAGATCGAGTAAAAGGCAGCATGATTCCCAACTGGATGTACGTCAAGGGTAATAAAAAAATATGAATGTGCTTTTTCATTTTATTTACTCAGATTCTGTTTTACTCATCCAAATAATATATATTTTCCGTGTAAAATTACGATCTTTTGATTTACTAGAATGCAAAACTTGCAAGTTAAATGTGATGATGATGATCAAATAGATTTAATTACCCTTCTGAGCTGCAAATATATCATCTACGAACATATTTTCATCAGCTGCTGCGGGAGCCATTTCTCGTGAATTTATAGTTTTTACTGTATCTGTCTTCTTGTCATATATTGTGAAGAAATGGCCTCCTGAAAAAAGTCAATGTCTTCTGAATATAGAGTATTTAATAACGTGGCGTTTCTGACGTTTTCATAACGGTAGCATGTAAGAGTTGATTAAGACTTGCAAGAAATGGCCTCCTGAAAAATTGTGAAAATGCCTAATTCACCATACAGTTGTCATAGAGGTAGCATGTTAACGAAACAGTTGATTAAGAGCTGCAATTCGATTAAAAGTTTATACAATGACCATATATAGTCATTTTTCACCATTGATTGGATGTCTGATTTATGTACCTGTATATATAGTGGAAGGAATTTACCATAATATTTGGCAGGATATCTCAAATAGTGATAGAAGCATAAACTTTGGCTTTTTACTTCTTAAACCTTTAAGAAATCAGATCAATGAAATAATAATATGTTTACATTTATTAAATTGTGGCGAATTAAACATAGATAATTCCTAATCTGCAGCATACCTCCAACTCCCATGCTGTGAGCGTTTGCCACACCTTGGCACAAAAGTGTTCCTATGGCAGCATCCACTGCATTACCACCTTTTGCTGCCATTATATTCCTACAACATATTAGCTTTACATATACATGTGCGAAGAAACCTTAAAAACTGAAAATTATGTAAGCACAACCAAAAAGAAACGTATATGGCAAAAATTGAACAAGTATCGAAAAACCTAACCAACCTATAAGGAAACAATCCCCAATAACTCTTGATCAATGGCACAAAGAAACAGTGTTTAAGTTACCCCAAAAAGATGACTTCCGGCTGCCAAACTTATGGAGAGGAGTATACTTACACTCCTATTGTTGAACAATATTTCATGGCATCTGGTGCTACGGCTGCAAACCTGTAGTTACCCAATATTGTCGGTGAATGGGTCGGTGCTGGGAATGTAGTTTCAGGAGCCATTGTCACGGGAGGATCAACCTAATAATAAAATATACATGTACGCATGCTCATTCTCCGAACACATAGCTCCAGACATCTCCATCTTATTTCTTTGATTCTTATTGAAGGAGACGAGGAGAGAGTAGATGATGACCGGACGATGCGTTTGGAGGATTGGGAAGCTGAGTTTAGTGCAAGCTCATCAAGATCCTGCAGTTCTGGAGTCTCATCATACTTTGGAGTGGTTATATGTATATGTATATGGGATAATATTGTCAATTCAATTTTGATGATTTTTTTTATTTCACCATGTCCAAGAAATTATAAAATATTGCAACATTGAGGATTTTTCATGAACCTTTTGTCATGTTTGTTTCAAATAGCAAATAGACTGCACTCTCCAATGATTTGATGGTTTCATGTAAAATGGAGTTTCATCCACATGTAGATTCTGACTCTCGTAGTAATGAGGAGCATAGTCTAAGATGGCTAGAGTGGAATACATTGGAATATTCCCCATTGTCTAGCTTGGAATAACTGAATAATGATCTTTGGCTAGTTTACAATATAATAGTATACGCCTACTGAACGAATTATAAAGGACAATGTATAAATTAAGCTTCTGCAGAAAGAATATTATTACCTTACAATCATCCTTGTATTAGTTCGATTTCGTTTCCTAAAAGAGAACTTCATCTTTATTTTATAACTAACTTCTGTTTTCAGGGTACGATCAATTCGTGTTTTGATTTACCTTGTCAGGTATCGGAGGGGTCCTGAGGGTCAGAACCAGCGTCACTACTACTGCAACAAGTGCAATAGCCACTACGACTGCACTTAAGATCCATTTGGCTCGCATAGACAGACTGAAGGAATAAAATAGAATAATGACTGGAAGAAAGTGTGGGATGGGGTGGGGTCGTACAAAAGCCTAAAGGACAAGGGAGTCTGACATTGGGCGTAACTGACATTGTGGGTAGCTATGGCTGGGAGGCTCTTTAGTGAAACAATGGGATTTACCTAACAGCACTGTGACATCACATGGCCGTACCAAAGCCGACCGACCGATCGACCGACCAACCATAGCATTTTAATTATTCATTCTATTATGAAATTGATATGTATAATGCCTGGACTATTTTTTATTTCATGATTCTCTCATCGAATCTCTATCTATACTATCATGAGAAACACTTTAAAGTGTAGTGTCATTATTATATACTAATTATTACCCATGATGGAATCACAATTAAAGATCTCCTAAAGTATATTCGTTTTATGATATCTGTTGAGAAACTTAAACAAACTTTAAACAGCCATTTCTGGCGATATTTTGATTATCAGCACATATAATACAAGCTTATTCTGCATAATTATAATATCAAAATTAAACTTACCCCATTGTTCCAGATATTATGAAATTCTTCAATGTCTTATTCCTGTTTTTGGTTAAAAATTCATAATTGTGACCTTAGTGGATGTATGTGAAGTGTCGAAAGTAAATCAGCGCAAGGTTTATAATCTTTACACAACATGTAAATTGTCAGATTGGATGTACATGCAATCGGGGGTCGTCTCAGTGTCAAAATGAATATTTGTCCCCGAGTGGATGTGATAAGTTATATACCCTTACTTGAAACAGTAAGTATATCAGCAAGTGACTTTATTATATTATATGGCATTTTTACATTAAAGTCTAGATCATGAGTTCACCGGAGAATTTATACTTTCTCTTGGTGAACTTAGTCACAAGTGTATAGCCCTACTTGAAACAGTATGTCAGCTAGTGACTTTATTTCACTAACTAAGTCCACAATTGTCCGGCGAACTATTCTAGATTATAATGTAAAATGGCATTTAAGGTCAACAACAAAAAAACGGTGTTGATCGATTTGTAAGGTGCTAAAACGAACGTTTCTATGAGGTTACTAATCGAACAGTTGTCAAATCTGTTTTGTGCCCGGACCAGGAGGGATAAAACATCAAAAATGGAGGCAGGATATTCACATGAGGTTAGGTACCAAACATGATCGTTGAAGTGTGCACATGAATGTAGTGTTAATTGGTTATTGCGCATGCGTGTAAGACCAGAAACCAGTTAGTTTTGTTACAACGAATTTAATTGATTTTTACACCAAAAGTGAGGTTAAAATGAGGTATTTATTTTAAACATTAATTTATTAATTGATTAATAAATTCCAACTCATATATTGATTTTGGAAATAAACATGGAATAAATCCGATGCCATAAACATATAAACCGTATATAATACTGTTAATTACGAAATGTTGAGATTTTCCCTTACGTGACAATATAAGATAAAACTTGAACTTTAGCCTCACTCTCGAAGTTGTTCTTAAGCGATTCTTGAGATATTTGGCCAATAAGAATATAAAAGTTTTGGCGGGATATTTAAAAAACATTTTTACATATCACTCTCAGCAAAAACTCAACATCTAATGATATTATATTTATAAGTTTAATGTTCAAAGCATCAGATGAAATAGATCCGACCCAGCTTTGTTGAACCTTTCAGAAAATAGACATGAGTGAATGAATCTCCGTGCACAAAAAAGTTGGAGACTATAAAAATATGTCACATATGAAAATTATGAACCAACCTTTATTTCGACCTCGCCCCTTTCTTTCACCAAATAAACCACATGTTTTGAGAGTAAGCCATTCGCCTCTGGGCTCATTTGTATTCGCATGCCCTCACTGGTGGACTCCATTCTCGAGGCCATATTGATGGAGTCTCCAAACAGGCAGTACCTTGGCATATATCTACCTATAACCTTGGCATATAACACCTAAGTATAATAATAATAAAAATAGTTTTAATAATTTTTTTTTTAAAAGAGTCACGAGACAAAGGATTTTTGGGTGGTCTATGTCAATTTACGACCATATTGTGACAGCTCTATACAAAATAGTGCAAATTCTGCTTTTCACGGGTACTTACCATTCGTCGTGATACAGTGAGTTCGCGCGGCGGTACAGCTGATCCAAGGGGCTAGAATGTCTGTTAATAAACTCAGTGGTATGAAACATGGATAGGCAAACCAAACTTGCTATTGTTCAGTCCAGGTGTTTTAAAATCAAGGATCGTAAGTCTCACACTGCACCTTTTTCTTGAAACTTACAACATACAAACCAAAACAACAATGCCTTCATGTAGGTGCATTGCTTTAATGTACAGGTCTCTCATTTTAGCTCATTTTTGTTTGGGTCCCCAGCTGCGGGGTCACGCACATTTTCATAGATTTCAACTGTAAGTCTGAGTTATCTCTTTTTCTCATTCTCGCCCATAATTTCCGGTTTTTAAATTTCTGTCAAGTTGTATTTGTACAATTATCTTGTATCTTATATTGATGATGTTGTAATTAGAATTGTATTTTACAACTACTTTAATTGTGCTTTATATTCACAGTCAAATAGACAGCTAGTCTAGTCTATTGTATGTCAGACAGTCAATAAAAAAATATATACAGCATATTGAATTGGCGTTTGTTCGAGTACTAGTCCAATACGTATTTTGAATAAGGTTCCATTTTATTGTCACTATAATGCTATTCACTCCTCATACATAGGCGAACCCCCTCCCCCGACGTCAACTTGCTTGTACTCGCGAACAGGACTCAGTAAAATTCGTTCCCATCAGTATATGTACGTTATACATCATTGGTGATGTTCACAAGCGGAAGTATCCCTTAGGAAAGTCTCGGATGGCTTCGATTGTGCATCGTGGTAATCCATGCCCTCTCCATCTCTATCCTTCTGGATGAACAGAGAGAGATGCTATGAGTATCAGAATGTCGATTGTGCGTTAAAGGTCAGGACAGGTAAACTCGCGCTCTTTGGAAAGATTGGTGAGATTGGAAATACATTTTGTGCGCCATTTAGTAACCATCAGGGACGCCATCTCTCCTGTAGTCACAATTAGCCCAGATGGATCCGTCTTCTCGCGTGATCCCAGACACAACAGCCCTGACCGATTTGTTTCGTATAGTATGTCCTTTCTCCGCGAGCCCTTTCAGGAGTTTCTGTAACATGATCACACATTTCACACAAAGACAGTGATCCCAAAAATAACAGCCCCAACAGACTTGTCTCGTATAGTATGCCCCTTTTTTGCAAGCCCTTTCAGAAGTGACTGTAACATGATCATTAACACACGATGAAAGTATTTAATTATTTTGTTTCGTGAATTTTATTTGAATAAGCCGTGGCGTAGTTTATTGCTTATTACTTCTCGCGCCGACCTATATCAATTACTTGACACCGTGACACCGTGACTAATTATTTGACATAGCGACCTCTTCCAATCATTAGACGCAATTGTCCATATTTATTTTCTAACGCAGAAATCTCGATTGAGTTTTTTTAGTTGGAAAACTACGTTTTACAAGTCGGCTAGATCTTCATCTTATTTTTTAAAGGAAATACGATAAAAAAATAACACCTTGATATTTGGAACTTCCATTTCATAGAGTAAGACCATTGAAAGTGAATAAAAATAAAATAAAAATTAATAAAAAAATTGAAAGAAATTGAAAAGTTTATCCATTGAGTAAATGTGTTAAAGTTAGATGTCAAGGTTTTGTTTTAACATTATACCAATAGTTCATTAAAATTAGTTTTCAGGCACAGTATGAATGCACTGATGGTCGATGGCAGATCGGCACATCATAGGTATTTGCTCTGTTATATTGGAGAATCAGTATATATGCAGTCATGTGAGATCATTTCGGTGAATATATAGATAATCATTACTATAATACTTACCGGTGGAAATGATGCATCATGTCTTATATAGTCAGGTAATAGCTGATGGTGTATCCTGGGATAATCTATGGAAGTCTTTATATTCTCGCCAAACCATAAATTCCTCATAGCTACCTAAAATGAAAAAGACACGCGTCCTTTGCTAAAAACATGTGTTTCAATACGACACTTTCAATAATTTATGATACATAGATTGGAAATTAGCCTTGCCCAAGTCGGTATTTTTTTTTTTATTATCTGATCTTGAATTATTACCGGCGGTCATAATAGAAATCAAGATAAGTATAAGAGACCGACTTGGGCAAGGCTAATTGGAAATTTATCTACCCATGAAGTACCAATAATTTTACAATGCATTCAAGCCTCTGGGGCAGTAGAGAACTTACGTATGACGTCACTGTAGTTATCCTTGTACCCCCTGCCCCTCCAGTTATCAATCTCACATTTCTATCAGCGTCCAGGACAATGGTTGGAGCCATGGATGATAGAGGGCGCTTCCCTGGCTTAATAAAGTTAGCAGGAGATGCTGGCATCCCAAAAGCATTGGTGGTATTTGGTGTTGCGAAATCGTACATTTCGTTGTTATATAAGATTCCAGTTTTGTTACCCCTCATAATTGAACCAAAACTGAAGTAAATTAAACCATGATATTTTCTCATTTCGAAATAATCGTTAGAGTCATTTGGCGCTTGGGGAAAAATAATATCTAAGTGTAATACTGTAGAGACTGAACAAATGACGATATTATTACTGTATATAAGTCCCAAAACGATAAAACACAGATTTGTATACAAATCATAGCATGAAAAGGCGCATCACAACATATTGGCAATCAGTCCATTGCCCAAAAGGCAACTCGTTTTCCCAACACATTGCCAATGATGAAAACTGATTGCCATTGGCAGTTGAGCAGTTCTGAGTTTCGAACCCTGCATTCAGTAATTTCAGATATTGACTTACTAGAAGTTAATGGTGCTGGTGCAAGCAACGGCACTTCCATCGGGGCCCAACACTGAAAGATGGGCAGTTCCTTTGGTCTCACGGTCATAGAATGTTGGCCCATAGTACAACAAATCATGGGTCTGGTTGTCCCATATTTTGTGCCTTGTAGCTGTGGCATAATCTTTTGAAGTTAAATTCTTTATTAGCTAAAATCATCAGAGTACATAGTAGTCTACAGTGTATACTACTAAATATTATCTAAACTAATGTTGCCAGTCTGGTGTTAGCGATAGAAAGAAGCATAATGTTAATACACAGATTGAAAAATGAAATTAAGCAATATTACTGATGATGTACATATGCTACAATATTGTGCATGATACATACATTCTCATCTAAAATAGTATGCAATCGTTGATTGCTTCACGAAGAACATACCTACACACACTCCACTCAAAAAGCTTGGTAATCAGAAACACCCTTCGAACCACATGTTAATGCCTGGTTATGCTATATCATGCTATGTTTATGTTGAAAGGTTAATATGTTATATCTATTATTTCAATCACGATACAATGTCGGACAACCGGCCCAGACCTTTTAACAAATTCATCGAAATCAAACTTTCAGCCTTTTGAATGGAGGAACAAACATCATCATGGCTGTAAAACCCTATCAAATGGGACTTCAGGTTGCCATACTTATGAACGGGGGTGTACATACATCTTCAATTCCTGGTTGTAGAAAATTCTCATCTCCCAATTCTGTTCGTTTAGCATATGCGAATTTAAAAGCTTCTATTATACGATGGTATGTTGTAGTGGACGTTTCATCGTCTTTTAAACTTTCTGAGCTGAAGTTATATCCATCTAGGATACCCATGATATATTGCAGAACTACACCACTCGATGGCGGCCTCACTCCATATACTGTCATGTTCCCATTGCTCAAGTGTATTGCTAATGGATCTTTTATTTCACTGGTATAATTCTTTAAATCCTCCTCAGTTATTATTGCACCTGGGAAATAATATACAAATACTGGATTAGGAGCTGGATATGGCTACCGCCTCGCCTCGCCAATCATATTGCAGTATCTAAATGAGGTGTATAAATAGAGGTTATTTAATGGGAGGGATGGGACATGAATTTTATTTCAAGGGAAAATATGATATTGACCAAGGAAAATATCATATTGACCGAGGGCGACAGTCCGAGTGTTAATATGATATTTTCCGAGGCCAATATCATATTTTCTCGAGGAAAATTCATTTTCCATCACTACCATCAATAACCTATTTATTCCATAGTATTTTTCTTAAACTTGCTTTGAATATCGTCACCCAATGATGATGGCATTTAATGATACAATCTCATTGATCGAATGAGATTTTCAACTTTTATTGACAAATTTCAAAATAGAAATAATCTATAATACTAATACGGATCATAATATACCATAATAACACACTATTAAGTCTCATGAAATTTTCTGATAGTTCTGAAACTAAATTTTGGCTGATACCGGATCCAATACGGGATTTTTTGAATATCAATTTTATTCCCTGTTATTTTCCCGGGGAAAACATGTTATTATGGAATAATAAGTAATATTAAAGATATTATGATAACGAGATGTATTCTAATTGATCTTTCGATTATTTTAAAGGGATTGTCTCTAAAATACACTTAAGTTTAACCTCCTTACCCATATCTTTAAGTTCCTCTGCTATCTTAGTAGCTAACGTTCCATTATAAAATGAGTGAGGGTCTTCAGATATAACCTCTAGTGTTTCAGCGAATTTCTCCCTCTTCATAATATCTCCCGCTTCAAGAAATCGATTCTCCTCTTTATTCCATATGATCTCCCTGAGGATTCAAAATTATGGTCATGGTTCAAGCGTTTTACGGATAAGTTCATGCTGACTTTATATATGTGTATACATAAATGTTTTAATCGAAATGGAGTGGGGAGGGTGGTTGAAATAAACATAAACTTTGTGAATTAATAATTCCTCATCAATTATTGTTGTAACCAAGGACCAGCTAATTATGTAATAGTGTGCAACTTAAGAAAAACTTAACTTTACGAAGTTTCTATAAATGACCTTGAACTTGACCTCAAGCAATTTGTAAGCAACAATCGAGATAACCTTTTGATAAAATGAAGCCAAATACTTACATGATTGATGGATAATTAGGGAGTCTATTTCGGTACTGTCTGATTGCAGAGGCAAGACTCTTGCCTACTGGAAAGCCCTCTTTACACATTTTAATGGTGGGCTCAAACAATTCCTTCCACGGAACAGAACCACTCCCAAAATTACTATAAGCTTCCCAGTATCCTTTGATCTCACCTGGGACACCTATTGCCAATGGACCTGAAATGCAAAGAGGCATTGGTCGGTATCAAGCGAAGGTAACGGCCGTAACTTTCGCATCTAAGATGGCGGACGGTAGTGTCGATTTCGATATCTTTATAGTTGAAGTAATGCTTTGATATCTGAACTATACCAGGCGTATGAAGTATGATCATTCGTCATATACCATGCGTAGGCACCACAGTTCAACGATATCGTCCACCGCTTCAGGAAAGGTAACTTGGATTTAAGGATCTAAGCCCTGGACTCAGTGCATTGTCTGCTGAATCATACCATGAAGGTTTTGTTTCCAAACCTTTGCATGACCGCGCAGTTTAGGAAACAACGCCTGAGTGGAATGAAGCGGCTACAATGCATTGAGTGCTGGGCTTAAATTCTCCCCTTTATGGTCTCCAATTGTCCTGAGGTAATATTGTACACTCTGTTTAAAGTGCTGCAACATTGTGGCTATCAGTCTGATGCTCATGACATATAGTACGCTGTTAAGAAAATGAATGATGCACAAAGGTGCTAAAGGATTGGTATCGATATGGTGAACTTTTTGAACACACGTTTCTCTTAACCAGTCATCAAAAAAGTCTGAAAATTTTACACATCGTCAATTTAATGGTCATACTTTGAATATAATTTGAAAAAAATATAATTTTTTATCTATTTTGTTTTAGAAAACACACCAGACACTTCTTTTGTTCTTGGTATCATATGTTCGGAATGAAATGAAACAGTTTAGGTCTCTCAATATTGTAATTGTACAAAGGAAATATTGGTTGATTTTAAAAAAGTATCTTGTTAATGAAATTTCTATTTTGGGAGTTTTTGTCTTATTTTTGAATACTTTTTGTTAAATCAAACCAAATTTCCTTTGTGTAACTATAATATTGAGAGGTCTAGAAAAATGTTGTATAATATTCTATTTTGTTCCAACACGGTTCGGAAAGACATTTTATTCAATTCTCAAGAATTGGTAGAAAGGAACTAAAAACAATTGCACTAAAAAACAAAAAAATGTTAACAAAAACAGTTATATAAAGTATATATAAATAATTTTCGCATTAAATTGTTGTCAATCAGTCAAAATTACATATATATATAATACAGAATGTATATTTTACAGAATGTTTTCAATAATTGGTTGATGAGAAAAACATTGTTGAATTCAATTCACCATATCGATGCCAATCCTTTCAGTTCCCTAAAATGACAAAGATATGAGGAGGTTGCCGTTTTTATTGCCCACCCTGTACTTTTACATTTCATATACACTCACATTACATTTCAAAGAGGCGATTAATAGATATATCATTGAATGCCCTGAACATTTTATGATCTTTTGATTCACTAGAATGCAAAGCTTACAACGAGTATGCTATGATGACCAAATAGAGTTAAATCAATACCCCACTTAGCTGCCAATTTGTCGTCAACAAACATATTTTCATGAGCTGCTACGGGAGCCATTTCTCGTGAATCTATAGTTTTTACTGTATCTGTCTTCTTGTCATATATTGTGAAGAAATGGCCTCCTGAAAAAAGTCAATGCCTTCTGAATATAGAGTATTTAATAACGTGACGTTAACGCAAGAGTTGGAATTAAAAATTGCATTTTGATTTTAAGTATGCAATAACCATATTGTAATACCTGATACTAGGTATTCTGCCATAGATTGAATATGTCGTATCATAATATTTGATTGACTACACAATGGAGAGAATTTACTCAAAAATTAGCTTCAAACCCTTTTAAAAAACCTATTCCTGAAATGATAATTATATACATACACAAATACATGAATCCGTAGCATACCTCCAACACCCATGCTGTGAGCGTTGACCACACCTTGGCACAAAAGGGTTGCTATGGCAGCATCTACTGCGTTACCACCCTTTACTGCCATTATATTCCTACAACATGTAACCTTTATTATAAATATAAAAGAGAAACATTTGAAACAGTTTATTATGCAAGCACAATAATAAGAAGGAATATACACAATTTTAAAGAAACGTATACGTGATAGATACAGAACAAAGAACGGAAAGCACAACCAACCTACAAGGAAATACTCCCCAATAACCTAACTCATGATAAATGGCAAAAAGAAATAGGATTAAGTCTCATGTATACCATCTCATTAAAACAATTATCAAAATCAATAACATCAAAACAATTGAGCACTTCCCTCATTAAATTTTGGCAACCGGAATTTTCCGTTGGATAGCATTTCAAAGCATGTTTAAGTCTGGATCTAAATTGTGTTCTTAAGTTTACTGGTCAGTATCAAGTGAAGGTTATGTCGCTCACCTTCGCATTTAAGATGGTGGAACTAAATCAGAGTTATATGACATGGAAACTCCGGGAGTATTATAATTTGTTCATATATCGTGTCTGGGCGCCACAGTTCAACGATATCTTCCACACCGCTTAAATAAGGGATAGACTAGGAAGGTTACTGGAAATGTATGATATGGTAACGGTCATGAAACCAAAATCCCAGTAACTTCGTTGAACAATGGCGCTTACGCACGATATATAAACAATTAATCATATTCTGGAGTGTCAATGTCATAGAAATCTGGTTTAGTTCCTTTCAAAGCATTACTTCAACTATAAAGTAGTTTAATTTGATGAAAACTAAAAAATATCGAAATCGACACTTCCCGTCCGCCATCTTAAATGTGAAGCCAACGGCCGTAAGCTTCGCTGGATTCTGACCGGTGAAGTTCCGGAGAGTTTTTAACAGAATGTTTTCAATTATTGGTTTTAGAGAAAACAACATTGTTGAATTCAGTACACCATATCAATACCTATCCTTTATGTTAAAATTTATAAACTTTTTAAATCGTCAAACACGACCAGACTTTGCAATATAAAGGGAACTTCCAGTTGCCAAACTTATGAAGGGGAGTGTAACTCACACTCCTATTGTTGAACAGTGTTTCATGACATCTGGGGCTACGGCTGCAAACCTGTAGTTGCCCAATATTGAAGGTGAATGGGTCAGTGATGCAGTTTCAGGAGAAGCCAAAGACACGGGAGGACCAACCTAAACAATGAGATACACATGCTCATTCTCCGGACGCAGACACCATCCAATTTGTTCCTTCCTTCTTTCCTTCTTTCCATCCCTACTTCTTCATTCTTATTGAAGAAGGAAAGAATAGAGCCCTGCGTTTGTAATATCACAGGTTGGTAATCGAAAGTATAAAAACACTAAGAATACTTCACAATTTAGTTTTTTAACCCATATGTTTCATTATATCAAAGAAAATTACTTACTCCATGCAACGGAATAGCTTATATCATTTGCAGGTAACCTTCACTTTTGTTTGAAGTCCCATAACGCTAGGAGGAAAAGCTATTGGAAATAGCCCCGGAGTATCATATTCCAAAATGTAAGTTTTTAATGGCACGATATAGTGACATGATAATATTTACATATGTTTTCAGCATAACTCTGTGTATTTAATAGTGACTTAATTTCATGATATTTTCTTCATCCCAGGTTTAATCTGTCTAAAACTTGAATGGTATACTATATATATAGTATACCAAATGATGACCCTATTAATAAACATATTGTGATAAATTATCAAAATACAGGTTGTTAAACTAATAAACCAAAGTTTTTGGAGAATTAGAACAGTGCATTAATGGTACCCTTTGCATTCGTTCGACTTTACTTCTCAAAAGAGAGCTTCGTCTAGACTCTCCGCGCAAGGCACATTATTGGAGATTTGGCCCAGTTTTTTTTCAGAAAAGTTGGGAAAGTCATGGAAAATGATTTAAATAATATAACTGTATAATTCAAAGTTATCATTGTAGTAAACATTTCATTGAATTCAAATATGCCATCTAAAAGAAGGAATAGTAAGCTAAGTCATTAGAGGTCTAATATACAAATCTCTTAAATTGCACGAAAGAGATTTAGTGATATTAAAAAAGCTATATGGAAACTGTACTATTTACAGTTGTGTACTGAACGAAATGTAAAGTAAGTCCCGGCAAAAGAGCCCAAACAATAACCTTGCATCATTTTGACTTTGCTTCTGAAAATGGAGTTTCGTCTTCAAACAATCAATAACTCTCTGCGTTCAGGGTGACAAATATGTTCATACTTTGTTTTACCTTGTCTGGTATCGGAGGGGTCCTGAGGGTCAGAACCAGCGTCACTACCACTGCAACAAGTGCAATAGCCACTACGACTGCACTTAAGATCCATTTGGCTCGCATAGATAAACTGAAGGTATAAAACAGAATGATAAATGGGAGGAAGTGTGTTGTGGGGTCATACCCAGGGATAGGGGAGTCTGGGCACTAGGTAACATGAGGGTAGCCCACCGCTATGGCTGGGAGGTTTCTTCTTAAAGAAACAATGAGAAATACTTAGCTCTGACATCGCATGGTAATGGCCGCAGCAAAGCCAACCAATCAACCTTGGCATGTTTCACTATTCATTCCTTTACTTTGATATGAATATGTACAGTGCGCAATGCCTAGTCTATATTTTTTAATTTCCTCATCGACTCTCTCTATAATAATCACATAAGAGAACATAAAAGTACAATGTCATCATTAATACTACTTATTACTCACGATGAAATCACAATTAAATAACTCTTTAAATATAAACTTGTATATATGATATTGTCTTAGAAACAAACACACTTGAAACAGACATTACTGGTGATATTTTGATTATCAACATATAAAATACAAGCTAATTCGGTATAATAATTATCAAAGTTAAACTTACCCCATTGTTCCAAGTAATGGGAAATTCCTCTATATCCAATTCCTGTTTTGGTTAAGAATGTTTTGACCTTAGTCAGTGGATGTATGTCAAGTTTCAAAAGTAAACCAGTTCAAGGCTTCTAATCATGATTATACAACATGTAAATTGTAAAGTTGGATCTACTTGTAATTGGGGGCCATCTCAATGTCACTGTTACGTAACAGTCACAGTGAATAATTACAGTATTTGACTTAAACTGGAGTGAGTACGTTATATACCCTTATATGAACCAATGGAAGAATCAATTTATAATGTATAAATAAATGTGTAATTTATCAGAAGGATGGTTTTGCTGTTTCTCGATAGTAGCACCATATCTGGTCTCTGCGTGGTCACAACATATCCTGGGGGAACACTAGCTTTCTCCTGATGTCAACTTGGAGATCCCAGTCAGATGCTTTAGATAAGGTGGAAGGGAGTTCGGAGGTAATTTTCCGCTTGGATGGATTAGCCTGGCCTTCCTTTCTGAATTCTATCAATCTAGGGTTGGTTTAGACCTTCTGCTGGTTGGCTTCAAGCCATTCCCTATCAACCCACTTGGCTAATTCCTCCAGCACTTTGTCATGACGCCACCGATAGCGACCTTCTGCTAATGCTTTAGGATATGTGAGAGAGAGCAGTGTGCAGCCTGGCATTGTGGGCAGTTTGCTGTTTCCTCTTTTCCCCAAGTTCTCAAGTTGGTGGGAGATGGCAAAAGATCAGTGCTCTGAACCAAAGATCTCTCCAGCCTAGTGATCGGTCCAGTATGGTATCCCACCTGGTCCAGTCACCCTGTCTGGCGAGTCCGATGGCTCTAACCAAACGCTCCTTCTCCTCCTTTCTCCGCACAATTATTGAGATACAGAGCAAGGAGGATTGGCTCCCAGAATACAACATCGATATTCTTTCCCATATATGGGCATGTCGTGATACAAAATTCGAATTCAAACAGCCGCCTTGCATTTTGTTCACTTCAACACGTGAATCGTGAATTTTGCTCTTATTTTCAAACGAAAAATTCCAAAACTCACAAGAAGTGATCGAGATATTGGTTCGAATCTTTTGAACTGTTTATTTTGAATTTATAGTCAGTAAGAATTAGAAAGAAAGAGATCGACTATTAAAAGCAACCAACTCTCAACAATATAATCGTACATGTACTGTCTAATGAATGAAACTGACCTTGTATTTCCAGTATTTTTTTATACTATTGTAAGACGTGTCTCCCATCTGCCATTTTGGAAGAATATATAAGCGCAAATGCGCAAAAGAGGCGCACAGTTTGCCATTCTGATACTCATCACATCTTTCCATCTTTTACCACACTCATGACCGTGGGTTTGGTCTTGAGGAATAAGAGCAAAGGCAAGAGATATATGGGTAATTGGACTACGATTGACTACGATTATTGTGACATGCATGAGCAATATTGAAGGTAGTTTTCACAATGTAATATTGAAAATTAAACGAGACTTACTTTTGAAAAAAGTTGAAATTCTAACGTACTACTTAATATACAAAAATAGGTTATATGCCCTCTCATTAGGAAAAACACATCCCATTGAACAACTCAAGTTGAAGTATCCTCACCCTTGGAGTAGAGTTCATGCGCAGAATCGAATTCTCAATTGACCTTTTTGTACTAAGTCACTCTACAATACCTAACCCCTACAAATGCATAAGATACTCTGTTTGTCCAATTGTATAGTTTACTATATTTTTGAAAGTACCTTAATTAACATCTGACGTCATCCGATAAACCATTATAACGGACGAATAAAAACAAACAACATGATCATTAGTCCAAAGGGGTTGCTCATGAACACCCAATGCAAGGTATAGTAGAGTGTATTAAAGTGTACTGAGTTAAAACTATGTATTACATGCCAACTTAAACAAGAGGTGACCGTGTTTCTGAATACTGGCTTTAACCAGGTCAAGAGTTGTTCTTGAATTTTGAACGCTAAATATACCTTTTCTGATGAGCAAATGGTATTATCAGTTAAAATGCTTACATATAGGTCAGCTGCAGAGTATTATGAGTAGGGAATTTAGGGATACACGTTTGACTCCCATGGTGATTATCTTACACACCTTGGATGCAAATACTGATTTTTCTGTCCTGATACTATGTGGTGTGTCACCCATGAAGATCTTAACGGAACCAATCAAAAGTGCCTAAATATTTGTTTCACAAGGAGTCACCCATGAAGATCTTCATGGAACCAATCAAAAGCGCCTAAATATTTGTTTCACAAGGAGTCACCCATGAAGATCTTCATGGAACCAATCAAAAACGCCTAAATATTTGTTTCACAAGGAGTCACCCATGAAGATCTTCATGGAACCAATCAAAAGTGCCTAAATATTTGTTTCACAAGGAGTCACCCATGAAGATCTTCATGGAACCAATCAAAAGTGCCTACAAGGTGTCACACATACTAATAAACGATACTTTTATGGTTCTTAATGAGGCTTCTATTGAAATAACCTGATTGATTTGATGTTAACCTTCTGTAACCATACTGGGATCGGGGGTGTAACCAGAAATTGTCAAGGGAGAGGGATGCGATTTTGTGGATCTGCATCAATTCGAGGTTCACCCAAGTGAATTCTTTTAAAATTTACATTGTAGATGGTCCATTCTAAGCATTCTAAGTATAATTTGTTAACGTTTTTAAAATAAATTTTACAAAATCGTTTTTTTCTTATTTTGTGGGGGTTGGGGTGTGGGTGTGGGGGGATGGTGAATCTCACCTATCGCACCCCCTGGCTATACCCATGCGGGATTCATTGAAATAATCTGAGAGTATCAGTTGAATAATTGTAACTCGGGCAATCGAATTACATACTTTGACTTCCAAGGTGACAATAACATACTAGTACATGGGATGCAAATGACTTTCCCGTCCCGTTACTGCGTAGTGTGTCACCTGTGTATCTTCACAGAACTAATCAAGTCTTATCGCACAAAGAAAAGGGCAATTTTGTAAGGTTAGTTGAAAAAACATTAACAAATTATATTCAATACACCATATACGAGTACAAAGTAATTTTAAAAAATTTCCGGGATGAACCCCGTACCCCCTTTTTGGGGCTTCGCTCACAGTGATGCAAACCCCAAATATCGCACCCCTTGACATCTCCTTAATGAGGTTTCTATTGAAAGAAGCTATTGAATTGATGTTTGCCTTGTGGGATCACATTGGTGTTCAGTGTCTGCTCTGAAAGTATCATTAGCATTTTTTTCTTTAAGTAATGTTGATTAATTCTTAAATCATCAAAGTGAAGTAAGGTGAAGGGAGCAAGTGAAACCCTGAGAATCAATTGCAAGATGCTCTCAAACCCCGGGATGAACCATGTCTGACCTGAGACTAACATGAAATTAGAGTATGTTAGTCTAAGGTCAGACATAGGACTTCAAATCACATCTCCTTTGCCATCCATGCCTTTTTTCACGGACTGCAATCGAAAGATTTTTCCACCAAGAAGTAGCATGCTATTTTACAATATCATATGTAGAATCATACAATATGATATTACAATATCATATGTAGTTTGTAGATGATTTTCAAACAATACATTATATTTCTATATGTTTTAATGTCACCACTCGGTGAAATATTATTATAGTCTCTAATTTTTTGGGGATGGCCTTCAGTGGATGGTATTTACCATTCGGTAGTTAATGGTCATCAGTTCGCATCTGGCAGTATGAATCTGTAACAAATGACAGGTAGTGACATTTTGTGTGTCAATGCCTTTTATTTATGTGCTGCAACAATAATATTTTGACCATGCCAATTTTTTCTTCAATTTCTATTGGGTAGGGCTTTAATTAATTATTTAAAAATAATTAACAATGTTCAAAATTATGTCAGTAATACTATCAATGTAACAGTGTTTATTTATTTTCATTTAAGTAATATTGTACACCATTTTAAAAATGTTATGACTGATAATTAGGGACCATGATACACAATTTTGACTTATCAAATACACCAATAACACATGTAAGGTCTGATGATATCATTTAGAACTTTCATGATTGAAGTGTTCAGCCAAAGCGTTAATTAAGTCAGAACTGTTGACTAATTAAATGAAACGACCAACATTCATTTTACATTTTTTGTATCCAAAGTAACTAGGGCATCATAAACACAACTATTCTAGACTTTTTGCAATTATTTCAACAATAAATATTCAAGTATTTTGTCCATATCATGTATATAACCAAGGACGTCAACCTGAGGTTGACGTCCTTGATATAACGTAGTGACTTATCCATAGGCTATGGCGATACAAATAGTTGATAGATATAAATGTTTTTTAAATGCTATAAAAGATGGCAGGTCAATCAAAATTGTAATAGGATTCTACCACTGCTGCCATCTTTATATCGATCCAAAAGCCATATGGACTTATCGATGGGAGAGATCCTTCTCAGTACCGCATCACTCATCCATTGTTTCTCCAGGTTTAGGAATACGCCTGTAGAATCCCTTTTTACCTTCTAACCAGAACGTGTTGATCTTGCCACGACCCTGGAAAATTATGCAAATTATAACTAAGATTCTGGGTCACGCTTTGTCACAAACTGCTGCCTAGATGCGCTCTGCCCAGGTGCGTTCTGTTCATCACATTATATCTACAGTATATCAGAAACTAAAACACGAAATGGAAAATTGAGTTTTATTACAATAATGAACAAGGTATTGACGTACCAAGTGTCACCACTTGCCAGACGCCAGACGCCGGCTGCCAAACACCGTCCGCCAAAATGTTGGAGACAATAACAATATGTTCCCACTTCTGATGGTTGTGGCATAATTATGAACTAACCTTTATTTCGACCTCGCCCCTTTCTTTCACCAAATAACCCACATGTTTTGAAAGTAAGCCATTCGCCTCTGGACTCATTTGAATTCGCATGCCCTCACTGGTGGACTCCATTCTCGAGGCCATATTGATGGAGTCTCCAAACAGGCAGTACCTTGGCATAGTCGTACCCACCACACCTTAATTAATGATAATCATATTATTTTAATATATTCAATTTCAATAGAGTCACAAGGCCAAAGAATCCGATTTGGAAGGGGTTTGGCTTTTTGATCAATGTCAACGCATCATTTCACTAACGTCATTTGTAAATTTCATTCAACAAGAATCTACGAACATGTGACAGGCCTATATATAGAATAGTACAAAATCTTCTTGTCACGGGTACAAACCGTACGCCATTATATATGATATCTTGAGTTTGCGCGGCGGCATAGCGATGTTATCAGCTCAACATGGATCCCAAAAAGCTCACGAATGTGTTGAGGCACGATGTAAAAGAAATTATGGTCCCATGGGGATTATAGTCCCCTTTCTTAAAGGCCCTTATTAGCCCTGACTGTGGATACGATAATAAGGGAAAGAATTGTATTTAGGTCACCATATAAATCAATGGAAAATAGTACCATAATTTGATAGGACCTCCTACCCTTTTACACCGGTAACTACCCATGCTTTCATTCCTTTATTATTTCTCATCAAACCAATTGCAAACCCATACCTGCCGCGCATGTGCCAGTGTGCATTCCAATCCTCATCTGTAGTTTGCGTCTCGGCATGTGTCTTACCCTGAAGTTTGCTATACTTGCCAGCATCTCTAATGACATATCCGCAATGTTAGCCACATGCTGGATACCATTCCTCGTTGGTAGACCACTCACCACCATATAAGAGTCACCGATAGTCTCCACCTTGAAATTTAGTATTCGGGATAAACCACGAGTCTTGGGTATTAGGTGAAATAATGGAAGTTATAGTTACATCTCATTCAACATGTGACAGGCCTATATAAAGTACCATTCCTCGTTGGTAGACAACTCACAAACATTTACGAGTCTTCGATAGTTTCAACCATAAAATTAACAAGTTTGAAGTCCGCAGTTTTTAAAATATATGGTGGTAAGTCACAATTCTATAAGAGATCGAATTTGTCTAACTATCAACGACTGGCGACCTCATAACATCCACTAAACATGATAAAATTTGACCATTTGGTGAATAAGCATCCTCCTAGGCAGCTGTCCAGAATCCGTACATCCTTCTTCCCCCTGCTATAACCAATTTAGAAGCGCCCGATTCAACTGAATCATGTGATCTTATTATGCGCAATGATCATGATTTCTGTCGCAGTGTTGCGACAGCCAATCCGATTGCGAGTTCTTAATCGGGGAAATGCTAACTGCTTATCGCAGGGGGTAAAAAGAAAGAATATTTTCTTGATTTTGAAACCCTATAATCGGAGGTTGGTAAATTAGCCACACGGATTAAATACCATTTATACAATTACATGAATGGAGAGCAATCTAGGGGCTGAATGTACGTGTACCTTATAGACGTCACACCTGGATATGATGTTATCAAGAAGAGTGTAGAGGTCATTCAATAGGTTGACAATCTCTATGGGAGAGCTCTCAGTGGTGAAAGAGGTGAACTCAACGATATCAGAGAAGAACGCAGTCACTTGCTCATACACTTCCGGTTCGACCACGTGACCCATCTTGAGACTGTCAGCTATAGCCCTGTACAACGATTTAAAATAAAGCACATTTAGACTATTAGCTACATATGTGATTAAAACAAATCGCCCGATGAAATATTTTTCAATCACTGATTATCAATGAATGGCTCATAGTACTGGCAAAAACAACTTCTTACGCTGGCAACATCCTGTATAACAGTATGTCAGTTTTCTTCTTCTCTTCAATCAGTTCGGTTGTTCTCTGTTCTATCAACTCTTCCAAGTTTTCAGTGTATGTCTCCATCTTTGTAAGCATCTTGTCCATGATGTTGAACTTCCTGAAAGTGTTCATTTATTCTATATATTGGGGTATTGAGAAAAGTAATTTGAGTGAGTGTCAATTATACCTCCCATCATTTTAAATGATTTACAATGCATACATCACATCACTCTAAATTATTCGCTATGCATACCTCCCATCATTCTGACCACTCAATTTCTTCTTAATCTGACAGAAATCGGGTCGATAGAATGGGTTCTCGTGCCAACAATCTCTCATCAATTCGATCATGTCCGGTTTGGCATCCTTATCTTCTCTGACTTCCGGTCTGTATGGCGGATTGTCTCCACGTGTGACACGCTCTATGATTTCTGAATAAGAAGAGGAAATACTGCAGAATTTATAGATGGACCTTATTCTGTGTAAATATGACTCTAAAGAGGTTCAAGTTTAAATGGAGAGTTCATCGATTAATTCTGGCGAGCGGTTTCCATCCTTTTGTCGGAGTATGACAGGCGAATTTTCCCGGGGCGATATTAGGTTAGCAATCGATCTAGAGAGTAACATTCAATATGAATGAATTTAAGAATCACAAAATTCTTACTGATGAGATATGCCCATCGACTAATTGATCTTTTATTGATTTATTGACTGAAGAAACAAAATGGTTGATTACCTTTCGGAGCCAAATCCACACTGTGGTATGGGCCTGCCCTGTATATGACCTCCTGTAGAATAATGGCAAAACTATAGATGTCGCCTTTGGGTGTGCCATTCAACGGTGGAATTGGCATCCTAAGTAACTCAGGGGCTGTCCACAGTTTAGCTAAAAAATATGGTAGGATAGGAAATAAAACATGTCTCGATCCTGCGGTACGACAAATGTTGTTTCATAATACAAAAATAACATGAAAATGCATCATTCCTCCAAACTATTAATAATGTAGATAAACAAGTTTGGAACTGTTTACATGAGAACGAAAAGATTTAAAAGATGTCTTTATCTGGTGCAAACGATGCTTTATTTGTTGAGAACTAGACCCGCGTAATATGCTTGATTTATGCCTCAGTCACATTTGCTCCATTGAGTAGTAGTTCTACCATTTGTTCCTGGATATCGAGAAATACCTATGGAGGCCGTAGGATTGCCAATGGCCGTAGAAATATAATCAAACGGTTCAGTCGCCGTGAATAGCAAATAAATGAAACTGAGGCATTAGCAACGTCGTTTTGGATATTCTTGTTCTTGTCTTACTATAATATGCCGCATATTCGCCATCAGAGTGTTTCCGCTGCATGGCTAACTTGAACCTATGAAGGCCAAAGTCAGTGACCTTGAGGATCCATCTGCCATCTATAACGCAGTTGCTGCTCTTGAGGTTGCCGTGTGAGAGTATGGGGCAGGAGTGGATGTGATCCATACCCTGAAATTAAGGAGTGTACAGTACAGTACATGGTACAACTCATCTTACACCTTATATATAGGAATGGCAATATGCTAGGACTTGTTTCCTAAGGTTGTGATGAACGTTAAAGCACGTCATTAAACAAGATAATGGTATTTTCAGAATAATAATTAACGCTAAAACAATACAAACTATGGAACAGAATCATGCCAATAACTTTAATAGAAGGACGTTTTGAAAGCTGACGTTTCGAAATACTTACAGCTACCAAATCCGATATCAAAGAGCTCTTGAACATCCAATCCAACTTTATGTCATCGTTAGATAAGACATCCTGAAAATAAATATTAAATGTATTCTTACACTACCCTCCTATTACTACTGTAATTGAGGAACAAAATTAATATTCAAACATTCGGTTGCCTTTATAGGGAGTTCAAATGTACTGTTTATTCCACAAAATCGAGAGTCACGTGGCTTTTCCCAACACCGTTTCGCAACAAGAGTAATGAAAATACTATAACATGTGAATTATGAGATCTTGATTTGGGATTTTTGGGATTTGTTTCCATTTTGGACGGTTGTACATTTAAGTTTTGCTCTTTATTCTTTGCGATGCTTTCTATTTTTCTTCATTTGACATTTATTGGGACAAGACAAGTTTTTTCAACATTGGTCATAGAAAAATGGGACCTACATATGTAACTACTTGTGAAGTGTTCATATTGAGAGTTGTTCAGATTTACATGTTTTTTCAACATTGGTTGTCTAAGGCAGATGGGACCTAACAAGTGTTCACATTGAGCGGTGTTCAGATTAGGAAATTGTTCGGATGTTCAGATTTTGTTCTACATATTACTAACCTGGAGACTCCGTTTGCTACAGAAGGCAGTGAGTATACAAAACTTTCCTGGCGTGAAGCAAACACCGACGAATGCATTTACGTTATGATGGTTCATCTCTCGCATCTGAAATCACATCGGGCTTTTTTAATCAATATGTTTGCAGACGATGAGTGTCAATCAAATTACTTACGATCAGAGGCTTTGGAAAATTGGTAACATTCCCCTCCAAGTTTGGCAACTGGAAGTCATCAATTGATAACTTATAGAGGGGAGTGTATATTATTGAACATGACTGTATTCACGCCTTCTATAAACTGTAAACAAAGTCAATGCTTCAGCTGGGTTATAATCGAGATCAATAACCCAGTTAATACGTGTAATGTGTGACGTCATAACGGTGGGTCGTAGTAATGGCGGACCATGATGAATATTCGAAACAATTTGGTGAGTTTTCATGTTCGAATCGTAATATAGACCTCAGAGCAGGGGTAATATCGTCGAATACATCCCTTGGGGCTAGGCACAAAAGCTTTCGAACCCCTCACTCCCTTCGGTCGTTTGGGGTACAGAAAACGTTTGTGCCTAGCCCTGCGGGGTGTATTCGACGATATAACCTCTGCTTTTCGGTCTATATTTCTTAAGTAGCTTATGTAAGTCATTTCGTGAGTATTTTCATTCAAAGCTTTAAAGACTATTCCTAATATTTCAGAATTTAACCATAATCTAGTCGCTCCCTTGCTCACCAATTTAAGCTCCTTGTGGTCTTTCTTCCCGAGGATCATTCCGCCAACATTCATGTATTTGATGAACACAAGATTCCCTTTAAAGAGACCTACAACCTTTGAGGTCTTTTCTGTATCAGTGACGCCTTCATCGTCCTTGCTCGACACAGTCGTTGATGTCTGGAACACAATATTATCATATGTACGTCATGGTAAACATTGCATATATATAAATTCATTCATTTTGTTTTTATTTATTATTTATTTATAAACATGTTTACTGACAATGATAAAAACTACCAATTCAGAATTGCAATGCTTTTCCCTTTATGTGGGACAAAATCTTTCGAACTTTCCATGACTATGTCATTCAAGAAGGTCATGACAGATGCCCTTAGCAATTTATCTAATTAAATTTTATTGTATTCAAATGCACTCATAATGCAATAAAAAACCTACGCCTGCTGTATGTGTACTTCCGCCAATTGACTTAATGGCACTTTTACCACCGGCCCCTGCCATCGTCTTCGACATGTGGGTCACCTTGGCAAACGAGATTTCATCAAAGTCAACCTTCCATGACAGGAACTCGAGTTGGCCTTCTAATTTACGTCGTCTGGTAGCAAAATATGTTTCATCAGAACGCATCGTTTTTATTTTGAAAGTGTTTTTAAAACTACATTTAGAAATGCATTTACTTACACACGCACTTGGGGATACCAGATATATTAATTAGAGCTCGATTGCTCTAAAATTAAGGTTACCAATTAATTGGAAGTGAAGAAAAGAGATTAAAATTACAGGACTGGCTCTCGATTTTGTAATTTTGAGCTGAAAGCGCAATTACAAATTTCATAGATTTAGATTGGCATAAATATATTTGGGAACATCCTGTCAATCATTTCCCTATAACCTTACTAGGTTATTACGCAAATGTATTTTTCATTTTTTATATTAGAGCTTGATTGCTCTAAAATTAAGGTTACCAGTTAATTGTTGGGAGTTAAGAAGAAAAAATATTAAAAATACTAGACTGAATCTCAATTTTTGAAATTTTGAGCTAAAAGCGTAATAACTAATTTCATAGATTTAGATTGGCAAACATGTATTTGGGAACACCCTGTCAATCATTTCCCTATATACCTTACTAGTGTATTATGCAAATGTACTTTTCAAAAAATATGCATTTGGAATGCTTATCAGGGGAATTGCAAATCGAACTTACATCGACAAAGAACTAAGTATACACCCCCAATCCGCACTCTAAAATCACGGTACCATACGGTGGATTAAGAGTATGGTAACGTACGGTACCGTCGGAGTATAGTGTCGTACAGTGTTCACGATACCGTACGGTGCCGTTTTAGTCTACGGTACCATATTTCACGATACCGTACAGTACCATTTCCAAAACTGTATCATACTGTACTGTTGCAGATTGACTGTGATATTTATAATATGATTTCTATCAAATCAAGTATAATGCAGTTACTGAACGTCTGTACGTCTCTTTATTAGTAAGGTACAGCTACATAGACGTTTAAGCTTCTTACCTAAAAAGGTAGTAGATAGTGGATATTGCACCAACAAGTACGAACGTAGCTAGAATCCCGACGATAATTCCTATTTCATGAGCTAGATGAAAGACAAATAAGATCACATCAAATCAGTTTTTCGATCATAAAGAGTTTGTGTTGCAAGTAAGATGTGGCATTTTTAGTCCGTTCAACAAAGTCCATTCTATCAGATCAGTCAGGCTTTGAGATAGGGCCATGCAATCTTGTCAGAAGAAATCCGTAAATACGAACATGTAAATTTTAAATCAAAAATAGCATATAATATAAACAAGCATAAATAGTGTTAATAAAAATGCAAAGGTAAATCAATATTTAGATTTTTATCCACAAATGCATATCATAGTAATTTTCTATGTATTTGTAGGAATTGTATGTATATGCATGTTTTTGTAAATATGCTGAAATAAATGTTAAAAAAGATAGACGAATAGGGGCCAGTTGCAATGAGGCCAATCTTACTTGTAAGTCCATTTTTTTGACATGCCTCTGTAAAGAATCCGCAGTCGGGTGTGTCCTTTGGAGGATGGCCGTCAGGAGTCCTCCAAAACGCAGGGCTTAACACATGTATTCTCTGAAATTTAACAATATGAGGTCTGAATCTGTGAATCAGTATAACTTAAAACATACCAGTAAGGAGAGGTATCGATATGGAGAACTGAATTCAACAATGTTTTTCTTTTAGAAAACCAATCATTGAAAACATTCTGTAAAAAAACATGGTATTTTATGTAATCAGCAGGAGATCCAAGCCGCAAATGTGCTTCGGTTAGGCCGATTTCTACTTCCGCCGGGACGTCATAAAGTCCGATATTTCGATTTCGTCGGTAGAGCCCCAAATCACCCAGCCATTTTTAATTGTTCCTAACTTTGTGAATTTTTGATAAAATTGAATTCTGTTTTCAGTTTTGAGTTATATAAGTCTAGAACTTAGTTCATTAGAGTGGATATGACTCAAAGCTCGTGAAAATGCAGCTTAAATGCTTTCGAAACAATTCGAATTTTTTTCAAGCGATTTTCTAAGAAATTAAAACTTTTTCGAAAAAACTGGCAGAAAACCATCTCCCCCTGCTCTGAGATTCAAAGTGGTATTTAAATGGTACAAGACGATATGGGAAACATTTTTATCGACTTACCTTTTGTGAAGAATACGTGCAACTCGCTGAAAATTACTTTCAAACCTAGATCATTATTTTCGATTTTCTTGTTTCACTATTGAAGAGCGATCGTCAGTTTCCGGTTCCGCCGTGCGTTACTACAAACTTTTTGCTTTTAAACATTTAGACCTTTTTGGGTTGAATATTATGGTACTCATGCAGATTTACTATGTTGTATATGTATGCTGTATACTACCCATGGACCTCATAATGAGTAAGTACAAACGCTTAATTGAGCCTAGGATCGACGAAACATGTCAGTTAATTGACCTAGATTTTTCAAAATGGATGCCATATTTTCGATTCCAAATCGGTAAAAACTATGTTTTGATATCTACAATAACATATTTTCAGGGTAATAAATTGAGCGATTACAATACACCTTGACTTCTAACGACATATTGTGGACATCAGAAGGTACAAATCGTTTAGAATTGCAGCATTAACACATTGAACAGGTTGGTTATTTCTTTATTTCATTGGTTCCAAGCTTCAAAATTTTGATACATTCTCTCTGACTGCAATTTTGTACCAGGGTAAACGGTTTTAGAATCTGTCTCTATATTCTCAAGTCAATTTATAATTTTTGACTCAAATTGCTGTAGATATTGACTCTACCTTTACTTGAGATACTGTTCTAGCTTCTAATCATTTTCTATTATCATAACGAGACCCTATCTGTTGCAAGACTAATGCCTGGCGTAACCGTCACCATGTTATTCAGTGTTTTTAAGTAGCGCAAGGATCCTGCCATGACCGCGGTAATGTTATCATGAAAGCTTGGTATAACCGCAACAATGCTGTATTATATTGCAATGCCTGCCATGACCGTGACAATGTAATATAGTTCTGCAAGGCCTGGCATGACCATGACAATGTTATATAGTTCTGCAAGGCCTGGCATGACTGTGGCAATGTAATATAGTATTGCAAGTTCAGGTATGAGAGTGATAATGTATAAATTTACGATTAGGACTGCTATAACAGTGACAATGTGTATTGCAAAGCCTGGCATGATCGTGGTAATGTTATATAGTACTGCAAGGCCTGGCATGGCCGTGACAATGTAATATAGTATTGCAAGGCTTGGTATGACCGCCGTGGCAATGTGATATAGTATTCCAGGTTCGGGTATGAGAGTGGTAATGTAGAAATTTATGATTGCTATAAGTGACCGTGACAATGTGTATTTGCAAAAATCCAGTAAATTTGACAAAAATAAAGGAAAGATACAAATGATAAATCACTATTAGAAGATGAAGATAATTCAGACTGTGAAAATAATAATGAAATGAATGGACTCCTTTTTCAAGATGATATTTTATTTAACACAGATGATTCATCTTCTGATGATGACAGTGATTTTAGTGATTAACATGATTTATTTCATATTATGTGCAAAATATGCATATGCTATTTACAGGGAAAGTATAGGATTCAATATGTCTTATCCATCTCCATTAAGTGGAGGTTGGATATTTTTTTCAATTTTTTTTATTCCTGTGAAATTCCTTCTTTTATCCATCTTCACTTTGTGATGATTGGATATGATATGCATTAAAATATTATATATTTGTACTCAAATATTCCTTGTCACCAATCCACTATGTGTATGATGCTTACATGTATGTCCTCACTTCAACTTGTAGGTTTTCTCATCTTAATACTTCAATATACCCTCTTACATCTCCTAAACATGTTATGTTGTTGTGTAAGATGCTAATGTCCTCACATCAACTTGTAGGTTTTGCCATCTTTTACTTAAATATGCCCTCATATTCATCATCTAAACCTGTTATGTTGTTGTGTAAGATGCTAATGTCCTCACTTCAACTTGTAGGTTTTGCCATATTTTACTTAAATATGCCCTCTTACATCTACTAAACCTGTTATGTTGTTGTGTAAGATGCTAATTTCTTCACATCAACTTGCAGTTTTTGCCATCTTTTACTTAAATAAGCCCTTATATTCATCTTCTAAACCTGTTATGTTGTTGTGTAAGATGCTAATTTCACATCAACTTGTAGATTTTGCCATCTTTTTACTTAAATATGCCCTCATATTCATCATCTAAACCTGTTATGTTGTTGTGTAAGATGCTAATGTCCTCACACCAACTTGTAGGTTTTGCCATCTTCTTACTAAAATATGCCCTCTCATTCATCTATTAACTTACTTGTGTAAGATGCTAATGCAATGTCCGCACTTTAACTTGTATGTTTTCTCATCTCATTGCTAGGAATTAGCTCTAGTATGCCATTCCCCATTCATAATATGGAAATTTAAGATTCCACAAATCTCTCTTGTAGGTTTTATAAATTTTATACATGTATGTAGAACAAGTAGTAAATTAGAGATGACCTCTTACCTTAGGCTTTGTGGTAAACTTGTAACATGATATAATGAACTTTGAATATCCTTATAATCAAAAATTATGTTCTTCTCCAGACCAACTTTGGCACACTCTTCCCAATATGGTGGTAGAATGGAATGAAAGGAGTTGGATTATCTCTCTAATTGGTGCAGATAACATAGATTGAGGACATGCCAGATGAATCCCAGAATGCACTAGCTGTAATGATCACATCTAGTATTGAGGAGCAATGTACTACTCAACATACCAGATTACTGGGGCCCCATGCTTCAAACACAAAAGGTGGAGCACTTTAATATTCCCTCATGATGATGATACAAAGATGATTGGGTTCTGTTTGGTTGTGGGTTGTTACTCTGTGAAAAGCACCATCAATTTTATAGTCACATACACTGTCCTTATTGAAGGCAATTTTGAGTTTGGAGTAAGAAAAACTAAAAAACATTAAACTATAAACTTTATCTTTTAAAGGTTTCATATCATTCTCAATATTTCACAATTACTCAGATGCGAGTAGGTAGTTACCAGTTTCGCCACCAGGGGGCTGATTCGGGGGAAATAACATGGCAGGGTATTACAAAATTCCCTTAAATCTGAATATTGATAAGTTTTAGTGGTTCACTTTTCATATTATCCTCATGTATGTGATAGTTATACAAATTAAAATATGTCCAGTAAAAGAAAATATTATCTGCCCAACACAAGAAAATATATTTCACTTTTTGTGGTTTTACAACATGGGGTCTATGGGGAATCTCCCGACCTAGAAGTCACATTTTCAAAGAAAATTAAATTTTCAAAGTTGATAAACTCTTTTCAAAACCACATTTTTAGATATAATTTTACATGTAGATTCCAAATATGACATCAGTTTGAATGAATTGTGAATTTCTAATGATGTAAATCAAGATTATTTCTACTCGCATCTAGGATATTTAATATGACTCAAATTATGATCAAATTAATTCCATCACTTTTGGATACATGTACTGTATGTAGTAAAATGAAAATATCTTCAGCTTTGACTTCCATTTTTAATAAGCCATCAATATTGTTAATATCCTATGTGTTCATTTTCTAAATGTATTATAGTTGTTTCATTTTTGTAGGATCATGTGCTTCTAATGTGGAGTGAGGATGCCTCAAATATGAGCAGCTGGCTTTGAACTCTTATGCAACTGGCTCTTACAGACATCTCTCTGAAATGTTCACAAAACCACACGACAGGAAGTTCTTATCAGTGTAAGTCAGCTTCTCATATGGTTCATAATATGTTCTACCTGCTGTCAAGGTTGGAATTGTCATTTTGGAGATTTAACCCTGGGAGGCCTAAGGGAGGTACATGTACAAAAAGCTCCTGGAGTTTCGTTTTTTCTTCGAAACATTTTGTCGGTTTTGGGTAGTGTCTTCAAATAGCTGGGGCTACAGGTACATCAAATATATTCTTAAAAATCAGTGGAATTGTACATAGGGTAATTAATTTAATATGCTTATGCCCTTTGTACCCCTCCCCCTCTTGGGACTTTGTGTGAAATTCATACCTAAGGCTTCAAGGGTTAATATAGATGTACTTTGCCAATGATTTGATACGCAATATATATTTTTTATCACACCATCGGTGGGATATAGTCGTCATACTGGTCGTGATCGTGGTCGTGATCGTGGTCGTGATCGTGGTCGTGATCGTGATCGTCCCGCTTTTTGTCATCGCCGTTTAAGGAAAACTGCTCATCAGATTTTCTCCAAATTCGCAGAGATGATAGAGCATATGAAGTACTAGAGCTGATTAACTTTTGGGTGGCCATCTTGTTTTCTGGCGGCCATTTTGAAGGTTTTTCGAAAAATCTTGTCATCGCCATTTCAGGAAAACCGCTCATCGGATTTCCTTCAAATTTACACAAATGATAGAGGATATCAAGTACTAGAGCTGATTAACTTTTGGGCGGCCATCTTGTTTTCTTGTTCTTGAAATTTGTTAACATAATAGGAGAACAGTTTTCCTGGTTCATAGTGTCTGCCTATTTGATGGTGTGATCTCGTTCA